ATATATATATATATATATTTATTTATTTATTTTCAGCTGATCGTTTATTTAACACGTCGACTGCCGCTCGAAATTTATATACGTTTTGCCTATGAGACGGAATGTTTAATTTTTCTAAAGTGTTATGTTGCAATAAGTATCACGTTACGTTACAATATTTTCATAAAGTATCACGTTACGTTAAGCAATTATGCAACTGCAGCGAAAAGGGCATCTTTCATTTTATAGCGTTGTCTAGTTATATATGTATGTTGTTAATCGACGTTATACATATTTATAGGCTGTTACTAAATTTGTCGCTAAAATATGGATTTCGTATGAAATTATATTGTCCTATGTACAGTAACTCCAGCTCTGGCAGAACCATTACCCGGTTGGGTGGATAATCTAAATGGACCTGTGGGCCTTATGGTGGGTGCAGGCAAAGGCGTGATAAGATCTATGCTCTGTAATGGACGCTATCATGCCGAAGTAATACCCGTCGATCTTGCTATTAATGCTTTAATTGCAATTGCCTATAGGACAGCTATAGTGAAGTAAGCTATTCTGTCATGATCAATTGTCCCTTATTGTTGATATTCATTTCACATTTTTTATTAGTTTATGTTTATGCATTTTTATATCTTTATGGACATTATTAAATGGAATTCAAATAGAATTGAATAGTCTATTGTAAAAGTATTGTAAAAAGTACTCTACCCTCTTTGACCACTAAATTAGGATCACTTACAATTTTCAAAGTGTTATATGTTTTCAGTGATATCGAAACTTAATTACAAGTTTTATTAGCCACTAGAGGTGAATATTAACAATTGATATATTACTTATTTATTTATTACCATTGATGGCGAGTGTATTTATTGCAACAGAATTATTACGCATGAAAAATAGTTAGTGTCGAGTATTATGGAAAGAAAACTCAAAACGACGTATACTGCAACGAAAGCGAAGAACAGAAACTCGAACTATCAATGTATTAAGTGCAATACTGCATATATACTTATACAGTGTATGTGCATGTATAGTTTAATAGTTAATAAATTTTATTATTAAACTGCATTTCGAATTTTTGCAAGATGTTGAAAATTTGCAAGTGATCCTAATTTAATGAACAGACGGTGTACTTTCGATTATTTCTATAAATATCGAATAATTGAGTCTGTACACTTTAGTTTATATAATTTTATTATTATTTATTTTTATTCATTTATTTATAATAAAATTATATAAATTATATTTATAATTTTATTATATTATATTAATTTTATTATATTATTATTTTTTCAGTGTTAAACAAACCGCAAATATACCGGTGTACAATATTACGCAAAGTGGCATATTACCTATCACTTGGGGAGAAGTATTGGGAAAAGGGAAAAAGATCGCGTATCAGTATCCTTTTGAAGGACAAATTTGGTATCCATCCGGTGACATACACGACAGCAAATTCCTGCACAACCTGATCGTTTTCTTCTTCCACATTATACCGGCGTATTTCATCGATTTTCTTATGTTGATATTTCGACAAAAAAGATTGTAAGCCGATCCGTTTCGAATTGTTTCCAACGTTGCCGATTTCAAATTTTCATGTCGCCGTATTCTTTCTTCCAGTATGGTTCGCCTTCAAAACCGTATTTCCGTTGGGCTTGAAGTTTTACAGTATTTCACTACAAGGGAATGGATTTTCCATAACACGAACTTGCTAATAATGTGGGGTGAAATGAGTCCCAAGGACAAAAAGATTTTTCCGATTGATTTCTTGTCGATCGACGACACCGCGTATATAAAAACTTGCATTCTAGGTGCACGGCAATATTGCATGAAAGAGAATTTATCCACCTTGCCGAAAGCCAGGAGACACCAAGCAATGTACGTATTCCAGAAATATGCGAAAATTTGAAAAAATAAAATTCGGGCCGAGTGTTTCTCGAGATTGAGAAGGATGCCGAAAATATCAGGATTCCCGAGAATTTCGAGAATCCGAGACGCTCAAATTGAATATTATATCTTTTATGTGATACAATTTTATTACTTTATATCGTGAAATAGCGGAAATGCCTCAAAAATAAAAAAATGTGGAACCATGGGCGTGTTCAATAAAGCTAGTACGGAAACATGCTTCGGATTCTCGAGGTTCTGGGATTCGAGGAATCCCGATATTTTCTAGTCTCGAAATATTTTCAAGAAATCGTGTCCGATCTATTTCCCATATTCTTAACGTGTTCACGTTGCTGGCTTTGAAACGCTATTACCTCCAAACTTTTCACAAATATCGTAATATAAATGTACGTAGATATTTTTCGAAGAATTCCGAATCTTTTGTTAAAAAAAAGTTTCACGAAATGGACATTTTTCACTGCGTTTACAGATTATACGTCATTCACATAATTGCTGTCTATCTATTTTACTTCGGAATACTGTATCTTATTTACAAGAACTTCGAAGTAGCAAGAACTGGTCTGGATTCTGTTACGGAGCACATAAAATCATTATCAATTTTGGGCGGAGTTATATAAAGGGTTCATCCATAATGGTACAACATGCACACAACAATTTACTATAACTCCAAAACTATATCTTGCAATTACTGACAAGCTTCGTTAGGAATCTTCATGTATTATACACGATTTAATAGCACCAATTATTATTTACGCGAATTAAATGTTTTTATATCATTAGAAACTTAACCTGGAGCGGAATATTATAAAATATAGATTTCAACATGTGGTGATAATGCAATATTTTATTCGTGTTATTTTGTTTGTATATATTTCATTTGTATGACAGGTAGAACATTTCCAATAAAAATCTTATTTTTCACGTTATGCGGAGGTGGTCCTTTAATTACAACATAGTGCTATTTTCATTGAATTTAAATATAAATAAATAGATCGAATTCTATTATTCTATTAGAATAGAGTAATATTCTGTATATTTCTATATCGTATATAGAAAAAGATAACGCACTCTGTATTTTTTTTATATTATGTATCGTAAACTAGAGAGAATGCATAGATTACAAATCAGTCTTTTGGAATATTGGGCATTCGCTGATGCTCGTGTAGTATGTTAAATGTTATTGCCAATACGGGACATTTCGGGAAATTTCCTCTTTCATACAGAAAATGTAAATATTGTCTACAGCAAGGCGAAACAAGTTCAAACAAATTTAGAATATATTTACGTCCTCAGTTGTGCAGAAGCTATCGAAAGTGTAACATTCGGGTGAAATACAGTCAGTTAAGTGGTAGCATTAGTTCATAGGAGTAGTAAAGTAATAATGAATTTTCTAAAAGATCTTGATAATTATTGGGAAAAAGGAAAAGTTATAAACGAGTTATCGCAGTGTACAACAGCATTAAATTCAAGCTTGATTGCGGGACAAATTTCAGAGAATGCTGGGGTTGGGGAATGTTCGACGTCTTTTGTGAACATTCGAGAATTGCAGGAGAAATTGGAGACCTTGGTCAAAGCAAGAGCATAAGCTTGCAATTTGCAGAGAGACATATTTTATACGAATACGAGATTACGAAGTTCAAATTTACCGATGAAAAGAGGTTCAATTTAGACGGACCTGATGACCTCCATTACTATCATCATGATTTAAGCTTCTTCAAGAAAGAAGCAACAACAACTTGCGAATCGTGGGAAGGTATTATTTACTATGATAAGATGGAAATAAAATTTATTACTGGAAAATTAAATAGTAAAAAGTATATTGAAACGATTGACGAACAAATGAACACGCCGGAAATAAATACATTTTCCAACGTGATAGCACGGCGAAAGCAATAAAGCAATACTTTGCAAACAAAAACACTCGTGTTTTAAAATAAATAATCGGTCAAGCCCCCGAGACTTGAACATTATAGAAAATTGTTGGGGAAATTTAGCGAGAGCCGTGTAACAGAACGAAAGACAATTAGTAAATATCGTGTAAGAGTAGGAAGAACTAGGCCAAAAAATCATTAAAAACCTACATAAATCTTTATCTCAAAGAATGGCTGCCTTAGTATCAGTATTAAACAATTATCATACTCGTTTCTCGCGAAATGTCTCATCATTTCCATTTTCTTCTTTTATAACAACACGAAGCGTATTTTAATTTAATTCATGTTACTCATACACGTTGATGGCAAGCACTACGAAAGAACGCGTATAAGGAAGATTCTCCATCATCTGTTTAATAATTTTCGGAGTAGAATTCCTTTGCGCTGTCCTTTTAGCCCCGGGTTGTACGAGTAAAAAGAATAAAACGCACGGCAATCTAATCATTGGAGGTGACTGTGGTACATGTGTCGAACGATCACGAGGGAGAAACATGAAACAGGAGCTGGGTGAAATGCCTGTAAATGGATAGACTGGTCTGCTTCTGTTCATACGTATGCCGAGCATCTCGGCAATTCGCATGCCAGTAAGATTGTACAGCAAACAGGAGGAGGACAGACCGGTATGCTGGTCACTGAATACGCGGCAACCGAATGCCGAGGAATCGGGATGGTATAGTGCAGAAGGAGAAGAAG